CATTTCTAATTTGGAAGATTAATCATCATAATCATTATGTTCTTTACACCTCCATAAACACCCAACAAGAGTTCTTTGTTTATAACTCAGGCAGCTTCTGAATATAAGAAATCAAGTTTAGAAGATAGGTGATTCATTCAAGGCTGTTGCAGTATGAGAAAAGACAATACAGTACTTTATTCACATTGATTGAATTATATTGTAATGATTATTTTATCTTATGTAGTAGTTTTGTTTCTTAAAAATTTGTTCTCTAGTAGTACCAAGATGGTAATGTTACTTTGTGAATCAGGGAGCTAAATAAAGCAGAAGTATTCTGTTAGCTAAGTACATTTTATGTTGCAGGTGGCATTAAGTTAATAAAGAAAGAAAAGAAAAAGCAAAAATAAATAAAATAAAATGATTAGTGAGGGAAAAGCAGCTTAAAAAAAAGACACTACAAATCATTCATAATTGTTATGAGAACTACTTGTTGGGAAAGTAAAACTATTACTCAGAAATAAAATTACAGCTTCTCAGAAAAAAAAATTGCAAAGTAAGGTGGAAAGTGAAAACTTCTTTATTATCATTATAATGGACATTTTGTACTTAAAGCATATCTCGGTTTATTCTTCCTCTAGTTGACCCAGTCTTTCTACTTTTGGGGGCTTCAGACCTATGCATGTTACAGTCAGGTTTTTTGGCCAATTATGATACATACAGTAACTAATGGGGATAGGGTGGGCGTGCTACACAGGCATGTTTTGTGTTCTTTTCGGCGAATCTGACTGAAATGCCATTGACAGGCCAATTTATAGGGTTCAAGCCACTACTTTACAAACCTTAAATTGCAGCGTCCTCGGATCGCCGCATCAACCATTCAAAAATCGTCTCATTTTTAGCCTTGGTGCATAAGCTCTTTTATAAACAAAACTTAGATGCTACGGAGCTGCCAGCGAAAAACGACAATTTCACATCGTGTGCAACTTCAGTTCGGCTTTGGCAAATTATATAATTGAGCTTAAGAACTATCCAAAAGATGAGCTGAGTTTCAAAGCTAAGTTTACAGTATTCTTTCTAAGTTTTGACTTTTTACGCTGTCGGTTTGACTCACGGCGAAAAATGTTGTAAAAGTTATCAGCATTTCATGGTTTCGTTGAGGTGTCCGCTGACCAGTAAAATACTGTATCGTGCCCTAAAAAACGTATTTCCGCGGTGTCCCAAATAGCTAGGCTGATGCTGAGAGATATAGAATAACTAATTAGTAGTGCTAATAATCTACTTAGAGACCAAATTGATGAAATTGGTCATGTTTGGCCGGGAAAAACTGTCCATACAAATATTTTCAAAAATAACAGTAATTTTAAGAAATCCACCAAAGTGTCATTTGAGTAGGCATGTTCATCGCCATCTGCAATTGATTGAAACCCATGATGAAGCACTCGCTCTTGTGTTTGGCATTACTTCTCGATTTCTGTGCTCTGCAGGACACAGTTTTTTATAATTCAGAGAGAGAGCTTTTAGGGATAAGCACTTCTTCCTGACAACGACACTGATCGAATGAGTTAACGAATGCAGCCGTTGTATTTGTGCGAGCTGATAATAATTTCGAAAAATACTTCGACTTCTGTAAGTTTCATACGATTTCATTCACAACGATGAAAATCACATAGTGAAAATCACTCTTGCTTCGCTATTTGTAAACTGATCATGATTTTCGTGATATGAACGTGTTTTATTTCGTTTAACGTTCCATTATTGAAAGACTTCACATAACTTCCGATTCCCTTTTGCTCAGTTGGCAATTCAGTGCTACATCTTGGCTTTCATTTGATGTTAGTTTCACAGTAGAGGCATGACTAGGGACTAGTTTTAGAGACTATTCCCTTCATGTGTGCCAACCTTTACTCAGACCTGCTTGTGGAATCATTTCTGGTACTCAGGTCTGGGATCACCGCATCATTTTTACAAGAAATATATTGCAATTACAAGAACCATGTAGGTACATTTAACCACTGCATAATGTTAAGGTGATAGTTACAAATGTGGTAATGCAAAGTGATATAGGTCAATCCTGGATACTAGGTGACAAAGGCTATACCCTTACACCAATTACGATAACTCCAGTCTAGTTGATAGAATAGCTGGCACTAGAGTGAAACTAAAACAGGAATACATGTAAAACAAAACAAAATGAAAAAGTTACACTTGTAAAACAATAAGTGTCATAGAGAGGTCCTTTTGGGTCCTGAAACAAAGACCACAAGCCCTGAATTCTCTGGTGGAAGGCTTCATGAAATGTAATCCAATGTGAATGCAACTCCTGAGAGAAATGTTGATTGCACTGACAAAGATTTTTTAAAAACTAAAGGTTGGTAATCTAAAAGGTCAAGCAGTGGAGGAAAAGGCAAGAGGAAGGCACAGTAAGTAAATTTTGTTAGAGAAAAGCAACAATGAAATGAGCCAAGTTAGAGTTGAAGGAAGAAACTTACTGGGATTACTAAATCAGGACTTGAGATTGTGACCAATACTTGTGCCAATGCAGCTAACATTTTCTTGTGGGCAACTGTATAATTTTCTGTGACAGTGTGTGTTGAATTAAAAGTTAATTAGATCAAGTGCAAATTAAAGTACTTCATATTGTATAGTTTTACTTCAGCCTAGAAATTGCTCCTCCTCTTTAATGTGGATGCAGAATTTCAATTAGTTACTTTTTAATCATATGTTATAGAAAAGGGAAATTTTTAATACTTGCAGGTATATACTGATGCAGCTTTTAGGTTGGCAAAGATCAATCGACCATTTTTTTCTTAATTTCCACTCTGCTAATCCATGCCAAATGACATTCACTGGGATCCATGCAGCTGATATTGTAATTTGAACGTATAAAGGCATATTTGATATGGAGTTGTGGCTGCTAATGTTGCAAAAGTTTTTTGCTATGTCAGTGATGGTTCTTAGTTGAACATCGGCAATCCTCATTAGTGAAAAGTATAATGCAAACTAGATGAATAGCTGCGTGAACTCGGGCTTTCAATATCCAGGGTTCTTACAGGGCATGGAAAACCTGGAAAGTCATGGAATTTCCAAATTTCATTTTCCAGGCCTGGGAAGTCATGAAATTTAGGTGTGGGTCATGGAAAGTCATGGAAAATCAATATGCTCTCTATGAGTGAAAGGCAATAAGACCCAAAGTTGAAAAGTTAACTGACGAGTCCAAAAATCAGATTTAATTTCATTAGAAATAAACAGAAGCACGCATTGTGAGAATGTTTGCAAACAGGTCATGGAATCTTTCAAAAGGTCATGGAAAAAGTCATGGAAAGTCATGGAATTTTAACAGGTCAAAAGTGTACGAACCCTGATATCGCACATCTGGAGTTATCCTTAAGGACTGCCATATTGCCATTGTTACTGTCGTCACGCAATTTCGTCACTGCCGGTCATGAATAAGTCTACTTGCGTTTATTTTTGTTTGCTGGAGTGTAATGAATGTTGTTATGGTAATAGATAATAATCAAAATAATATATTACCATATATTAGGAGTAGGTTACTACAGATTCCAAAGGTTGAAATTCAAGGACTCTTCAATGACCTCGGAAAATCCCAGAAACGATTAAAAAAAAATTTAGTTTTTTTGAAGGCCAAGTTTTAGAAATTTGAAGGACCACTTTTGGAAAGGTTTGCATAAGCAATTTTGAAATTATTGAATATTATTTTTCAGCTTTTCCATGAAAGTACTGTAATGTTCAACTTGAAAATTGCTTAAGAAAAAGCATTGCAAAAATCAAGCCCTAGTCCTCAAATTCAAGAACTATCAAGACCTTGAATTTTTATTTTTAAATTCAAGCACCTTCAAAGACTTTCAAGACTTTTACACACCTTGAGTAGGTAATGTATTTGCCTTTGACTGGAAGGAGAAGGGAATTTTTCATCTATTATTGGTCCTGAGTCATAGTTTGTTGTCAAATGATCACCCTGAGGGAGTTATCAGAAATCAGTGGATTCAAGCAATGTTACTGTTCAGTAGTTCATATTGATTTTAATAGAAAAATCACTGAATATTGAATATTGTTGATGGCTGCAACAAGAGAAGCAGTGCTATTTACAGTTTTAGTATATTCAATTAGAGGCATTTGACTTTCATTTTAAATACCAAGAGGGAATACACATATTTTGATCTTTTTGTGGGTTTAAATATACATGTAATACAAAAAACTGAAAACCACATCAAAAACCCTGTGCATTCACTATTATTTCAAACAAGATTTTCAAGAATTGATTTGCTGTTGACTGAATCATATAATATTCCTTCACTATAATCACTTTTAAGATCTAAACTTCAGTTCCACAAACATCAACAGGTTTTGGCAAATCATCTGATGTTAAATACTTGTTTAAAGATGAATTTTCATATAATCTTTTGCCATACTGAATAACATTAGATAAGGTGTTTGAATTCCAATAACTACATGATTTTATTACGGAGTAGCTGAGAGAATAGAGAGCCACAGCACAACTCACTCTGAACTTTCTGGTTTCTCAGGCATGACTTTGAAAAAGGGTACTATTTTGAACTTTGTTAATTTTAACCCCTTTCGACTCAAATATATCTTTGTTATGTATACTCTGAAAATAATGTACTAAGCTATTCAGTGATGATATTTCAAGCAGCACACATGTACCTTGAGGATAGCTTCTACAATAAATATCCCTTGCATGAGAATCAAATATTTTCAAGCCCACTTACCTTTACAATAGATAGCAACTGCAGTACATCCTATTGTCAAGAAGACAAAATTGTTGAAATTTTTGGATAAAAGTGATTGAAAGTCTCCTCAGTCTTCAACACATTTAAAATTGTGGGGAATTCTGTCTGCATTGAAAATGATTGTCTGGTTAACTGAGACAAACTTGAATACAACTGATTTCCAATACTCATTATCGACACTAGATCGTTAGCAGAATTGATTCCTTGTTTGCTGTTGTATATCAAAGAGTATAAACTCATTACAACACATTGTTGTCCTGAATTTTGTCCAAATACCAATTCATTAGCTTGGCTATATGTTGCCATTATTGTTTTGCTAGGGTCAATGTACATTGGAGTGGGACCTGGATTTTTCTCAACATCTGAACTCAGTTGAAATCTACATAGTTTGATGCATGTGTCTGACTCTCAAAAAGACACAATGGTCTATAACAAGAAAACATTGTTAAATACCACCTTGCTCTATACTTCAATTTCATTATCCTCTGATATACCTCACTGAACAATTCAACAAATACTTCTTATCATATTTTGTAACTTTATTTAATCTTGCCCCCTTCGTACTATGCTTACAAATATTAGAGAGCTTTAGATTCGAGTGCGAGAACGAGTACGAGTACGAGTTTTAACCGCGCGAGATCTGGCACTAGTATCTCGTACTCGTAGTCGTGCTGACGAAAATTGTAACTTTAGATTCTAAACAAATGTATCGATCCGAGTGCGAGGGTTTTACTGTAACAATCTCGCCATGTTTAGCCAAAAAAACTATCCTATTAGCATCCGTTTACCTCCTTTGCGATTTATGAAATCACAACGATGGGAGGCAACATCCTTACAAGCAGTATGAAAGGATTGACGATGTTTTTGACGCCATTTCTCCTGAAGAGTTTGCAGCCGAGCTCAGGTTTGTCATCACAGGATTGCCTCTCCTTCTTCGGGCATTAGCAATTCCAGAAATGTTTACTTGTGCCAATGGCACGGTATGTTCAGGAACGAAAGGNAAACCCACCCATCCCACCCCAGGGGAGGACATCCATCACACAGTAACCTCCTGCATGGGAAATTAACATCTCCTACCCCTAACCCTGCAGGAGACTGGACCTCCATTTATTTGTCCCTATCCAAGAAGACTAGAATATCTAACCATTTCTTGATGTTATAGAAAGGTAGCACATTCTTGACCTTGAGTGTTGGTCCGGCCGGGGCTCGAACCCTCAACCTCCCGCACAACAGATAGTTCTCGATCACTTCTAAATACACAGTTGTGTTTACATGTAAACATAATATAACATAACTCGTTTGATATAGCAGGTTTTGCTTGATATTTCTCGATAAAAGGTTCATTTGTTAAGGATCTCTCGTAAAGTTCGTGGAAGGACCCGTTCCCAAATCGCTTACAAGTTTTAGTGTGGTTCTACCGCGAACGGTGTGTGACTTGTATATACATTGGGTGTAATAGCCATCGAATTTCTTTTGGGTACATCAAGCAAGGAATTGTCCACAAAGGCAGCCATTTGCATCCTTGCTCATGCACTCTTGGGTTCATTCTACATATGTGCTTACATTCTACGCATGCGTTTTGTGACTGAATGCAAAAAATTAAAAAAATAAAAACAAAACAAAGCCGAATTTATACCTTGGGCGTTTCTTTCGGAAAGCCCAAGTAATGAAATCCTACTTTTTACCGTTTGGTATGACATGGAAAGAAAATTTACTCACTCAGTCACTCCCTTACTCACCCTCACTCAGTCAGGTCACTCCTTAATCATTTAGACAGTTAATTTATGCCTTAAAATTTGAATTATATCCATTTTCCCCGCATCCCTTTCTAGGTTTGCTTTTCTCCCAAAAGCCATGTTATTGTCTTCTGTCAAATAACTTGGGTAGTACAAAGGCTAAAATTTTTGCCTGAGTACTTGACATTATCAACTTAATTCAAAATAGCATATGTTGTCATGCAAAATCATCAAGGTGGTTTTTCCTTTTTGCTCCTTTCTTGATCAAAATACAGCTCGGTAGAACTAGGAAATAAAGAAGACACACAAACGACTATATTTGAATGGAAAGAAACAGGCTTAAAAATCTCAAAATCTACAAAGATAACAGTTCCAGCAATATACGAGGAAATATGTAAAAAAATTGTCAGATTTTACACAGAACTTTCTTTAAGATATGTTCACAAGGTTTCTTGCCATCCTCAGCTCAGTGTTGTTAGTAGATGTATTTTGTTTTATGTGGGAGATTTAGATTTAGATTTATTTAGCTTCACCAACCGGCAGGGACACCACAACAGCTTGCGGTAATTACTGCAGGCCCAATAAACCCACCCATCCCACCCCAGGGTAGGACATCCATCACACAGTAATCTCGTGTGTGGGAAATTAATGTCTCCTACCTCAACCCTGCAGGAGGTCTTGAATGGAGGCAAAAATGTTTCTATTTCCTTCTTTAGAAAATACTGTAATTTTGAGTGTGAATCAGTAGGATTTCTGTCACAGTCAGTTGTAGCTTAAATTTATTTATGACAATCCACTTTGAACAATATTGTAGAAAAAACTTGGTAACCTATCATGGCCTTGCCTGTTGAGGAAAAGAGATGGCTGGTGCTTGGGATAGCATTGAACAAAGTGCTAGCACCAGTTTTACGAAGAGTTGTCAAGCAAGAAATGGAGGAACATTATAAATACTTGGACAAGTACTTGAGTTGTCAGGCCACTCCCTGCACTCTCAAGACCCTAACCTATGTTGATGTCAAGAATGACACAAACTTTCGTCACCTGAAATTTGAGAACATCAACCAGAACAAGTCAAATCCTGGAAAAAATAAAGATTATGATTATCATGTCAACCATCCAATAGACTTAGTCAAGCTGTACCTGCCAGATCACCAGTCACACTTTTCAGCTTTTGATGAGTCATTTGGGGTAAGTGCCCCTCTTCTGCTGCTGACACACCCCAAGCTTGGAGCAGTATTTAACTCACAGAAGTCTATTTCAGTGCAGTCTTCAGCAGAAAGTGTCAGGAAAACTGTCTGGAACAAATGGGCACGTTACAATTTGAATGACTGGACTCAAAAGATGTTCTCAGTCTGTTTCTCAAAAATTAATACCTTGGTAGAAAGTTTAAGGCTCACTGATGACATGAGAAGGCACATCATTCAGGAACTTTCTTCTTTTGAAGGTAGGTGGGATTTTTTCAACAAAGGGCAGATGCTTCTTACTACTGTTAACTACAAAACAATACAATACTTTACTTATACATGTAACACCAAGAAGCTCCTGAGTACTTGTTAAAACGTGTACATGTTAAATATATACTGAAGTAAACACTGTCTTAATTAAATGTGGTGACTGATGGTAAAACAATCAATAAAGCCACTACAGATGAAATTAGTTGAAATTAGTGCTTCAATAATTGAGGGATTTTTGGAACAAGGAGATAACAAGACCAGTGCAACTGTTAATCAACACATCTGAAAAAGAAGAAAGGAAATTAAACCCTTTTCCTCATTTACACGATAATTAAAAATGCAAAATTTAAATTTATCATTATCAGTGAGTTAAGAAACATTAATTTGAATTTAACTGTCTTTGAAAAAAAACTACACCCTTGAACAATGGCTACATTGGAAACTGGTCACAGCATTAAGTCAAGCAAATTGGGCAACTGTGAATTTAGCCTTTTGTTTAAAGTGTATGAATTATTAAAAGCTCTACTTACTTTGACCATGCTTTGAACCTTTACACTTTAACTTCCAGAAGTGATTAATTAACATGTAACCTCTCCCTGCAATATTCATTCATAATTCAGTAAACAGGTAATGAGAATACTCAGACTTCTTTGGTAGGAGTTTCCCTGATCCAAGACTTGGTTCTTGTAACTAGTTTACAAGGAAATGTGAAGCATCTGAAGGGAAGAATTGAACAATCAACTAGTCTTAATTTCATTTGAAGTTGTAAATGCAAGTTCAGAAACCACCTTTCAGAATTTAATTACCTGCTATATGTGAACTACAGTAAATGCATCAACACAGGTAATTTGAAATGTGTATAAGTTGGTTGTGGAAGTCTTCAAACTTATAGCCATTGCAAATATTTGTTGATCTTTTTCACCAAGTGAGCAGGAAGGTACACCACTTTTCCAATTAATTTTCACTCTTTCTGAATAATTGTTATTCTGAAACCAAATTCTAATGACAAGTAACCATACGAGGTTATGGTTTCAAATTACAATTGTAATTCTAGGCAATGAGGAAAGTTACTAAAAGAAAGTCACACGAGTACCTTTCTTCATTCGTAGTTCCTTTCATAAATGGTTTTTTAGAAGGCATTTTGCAACTACTATAAAAAAGTAAAACTCCGTACATGTAATTTCCATCATTCAGGTTGGGATATTGAGAAAGATGCTGTTGTTCCTCATAAAAGTGGACACCCAAAAGAACCTACACTGGAATCCTCTGCAAGCTCACAGGAAACAAAAGGTAGATGCTTCTATACAATTACGCTTGGTCTGCCTATAGTTGGATGATTATTTGTGCTCTGCCCATTCACAGATCTTGGGTATAAGAAGTTTTGGCAAAACCTGCTGGTCAACTAATCATGTTTGGTGGCCCAAGACTTCACTTGCCAGCCCAATAGCCCAGTTCCGTTAAGACAGAACAACCTAGTTTAATCTTAAAAAAAAAAAAAAAAAAAGAAAAAACACACAAGTGAATCTTAAAGTATCTACAGCAGCTGTAGTTGTGTGGCTTTGAGTCAACTGATTCAGGGCTGAAAATTTTGAAGACTTGCTCAGACTTTCCCTTTGAGCTAAAACCATGTCATTTGATTGTTATTTTTTATTTTGGAGGTTTACACATAACACATTTTACAACTAAGCAACGTTCCAATTCACTTGAACTTTAATTATTTAAACCACCACCCGACTGGGTAAGGTGACTCGTCCATCCTTACACCTCACTAGTAGGAATGCCGTGTGTATGACTAATTCCTTTTCACAGAATTTAGCTCCTTCAAGTTGAGACCTTCGTATTTGTAACCCCTTCCAAGCCTATGGCTTTTGTCACTCAGCAGTCCTCCAGCCATCAGGTTCTAGCACACTGGCTGAGCTGTGTCAGGCTTAAAGGCTGACTGCAAACGGGTTAAAAAGACAACAAGAATGGCTTTTCCCAATGAGCCCCTTTTGAGTGATATTTGGTCAAACAGGGCATTATCATCATAAGCTAAGAGGCGACACTGAAGACAAAATTTGAAAATTTTCAAAATCAAAGCAACTTCTGTGCATGCGTCAGTAAATAAGCTTTTGTTTATTATCTTACAGGTTGCTAAGTTTCCAGTGCTGTTGTATTATATGATTAAATGTGACTAATTGTATTCTATATTTCAGTCCAAAGAACTTGCTCGAAAAATGATTTGTAGCAAGTAACGTAATGTCTATGCGCCTAGTGCTTGCCTTTATCATTCCCGTTTATTCTTAGCACTAAATGTAACCTCAACAATTATTTACCGCAGTGAAGGTGAACAGTGGTAGATATTTACCGAGTTGCGAAGCGGCGAAGTAAATAATTACTACTTTCACCGACACTGAGTGAACACCTGTTTTAGTAAATACCACTCAGATACCAAAGGATAAGTTTGTTTGCCTCAATAAACTTAAAACTGGTCGGAAATTAGCTTCTTGATGCGCGACTTTGTCTCCTCAGCTGCACGGAGGTGAATGCTGCTCTTTTTTCACTTTCCAACTGGCCAATCTGCGTGCGCACAAATCACTACTTGTTACTCATGTAAAAGGCTAAGAATGTGTTATTTTCATTTGTGGAAAGGCACTGAACTTCCTTGGGCACAAACTTTGTACAGGGCTGGGACGGACAAAGGCCCGTCATTTGAGGTGATAAATGATAATGAAGGTAAGCTAAAATACAAATCGATAGTTTTCAGTACTGTGATTTCCATGCACCCATCACTTGCTCTGTGTAGTGGTATATCTTTAATAAAAATTATGTTAGAGGTAAAGTAAGAAGCTGTGATTATGGTGTTTCTACACTTAGCTTATACGAGGAAGTTCATGTTGTTTCGGTTGAATCTTTTACTCACTTGCAGTTTGGCTGTTACGAAATCCGGCCTTGTATTATCCACTTGATCAAGAACAGCATAGACCTAGTAACAGAGCTAATCCAGTCGTTGAAGTTCGCCTTTGGAAAACATTCGTCGCTCTTTTTCCAGACACTCTGATGGTAGAACCACATCCAAGTTTAGAGGACGTTGTTGTCGTCAAACTGAAAGTAAGCTGTTTTTAGTTACACTGTAATGGCCTAACTAATTTTAACACATCGTTTGATTGGTCAATTCAGTTTCCAAGCGGATGCTCTATCAGGTTGTCGCCTGGCCTTGCTCTTGCAATCAACCTAAGCGCGAGGAATTATTTTTTGATGAGTCCTCGCAAGGGGTTCCTCCATTGTCCTCTATTAGAGAGCCGTTTGACCGCATCTAGAAAACTCTACTTGGCTTGAGAACTCTGAAAATCTTCAAGGGACAAGATTCGGAATCAATTTAGTGCTTTATTTCTCGTTATTCATGTCAATCAGTATCAAATTAGGTCTAAGAAATTTGATTAAATTGATCAGAATTTTTGTCACGCGATAACTTGTTAAAGAGACCTATAAAATTCGAAGCAGCTAAATTTGTATGCTTCTAATAAGGCACATTGTAGCGTATTCTATTTGGCGCACGACGATTACAAGAAATTGAAAATGTTACAGTTTGAAATTTGCTCACCAAGATTTGCTGGTTTTCTTTCCTCATGTAGGAGACTCAAGATATAAGAAACATTGCAAGCTCGTTGAATGAGACGTTGTTGAAGTCATTGCCATGGAAGCCATCCAAAATGCCGATTTGCAAGAGAGGAGTACCCATTATGAACGTCAATTTCCTTGCTCGCGCTGTCTCAATGTACTTAAAGGACAACTCCCCAGTTACTCCAGAAGAATACAATTTTCAGGCTGAGCTGAAAGCTGCCAGCCACTGGCGATTCTTGAATGAAAACGAACAGATTAAGTTTGTATCAGGCCCATATGATTATGAACAGGTCAAGGTGGCTGCTGCATTTGCTTTGAGGCGATGGATTGAAGAATTGAGTGAAATTGAGAGCGGAGAAACAGACCTTCACAAAGTACTGGAGGATGACAGAGACGCTTCCAAAGACAATTCCTCAATTGAAGAACGAATTTCGGGTAAATTCTTAGTGGGCAAGATCAGTCTTACGTCTTAGTGTAATTTTTTTTTCAGTCGTTCACCACGCAGAGGGGAGGATACATAGAACGCTCGAGAAGCAAATGCTTCGGTGAATCACGTTCTTAGTTGGTAAATACCAGGCAGGCTTAAATGTATTCTCCAATTGGTCCAATTGCTGGTATTCAATAATTCTGTTTTCGTTATTACTAGAAAATTTCTGTTTTGTACAGTAATATATGACCATGTAGGCAAGAAGCAGCAAGGACAGTGTAGACGTACAAGGTGAAAAAGACGTAGTCAAGTGTTCCTTCCTTATGTTTCTGATTACGAAAAAGTGTCGTAGGCATGCAATTATAATCCCATGAAGCACCGTAAAGTAAGCTAGTCAAAGTCCTTGTAGAGTTTTGTCAAATAATTTATTTGTCAAAGAAGATCTCAAACTTAAGTTAAGTGTAGGTTTCGATTGAGGAACGACCGCTTTAAAGTTCGTTATTCATTTAGAGGGGTTTGATAATACCTCAGTAGGTTAGCTGCTTCCCCTTTCCTGGGTAGGTATGAATTTTCTTCGGCTAGGCACAAATCTTTGTATTCTTATTATTACGAAGACTGGTCTTCATTAAGATTTAGTGGCAATATAACGTCCATGCCTCTTTTAGATCTCGAGGAGGATATATTTTCATTGAGGATGTTTTACAACATGACTTTAGAAGGTAAGCTATTAAGCCATTTTAGCCATTGTTCTTTTAATGTGGAACCTTTCAGAGACTGTTTTTTTTTTTTTTTTTTTTTTTTAATACAATGAAATGTTTCGCCGGTTCCCTCTCCCTTACCTGAATGTGTACAGTCAAATAAATCTGTCACAAAACATAAAATGGAATTCTTGTTATGCATTATTTGTAGGGAGAAAACCAAAAAGGTTCAATAAATAACGAAGTAACAGCTGATGCAACTTGATCCAGTTGATTTATCTTTAGTTCGTACTGTTATTGTTATTGAATGCTGCTTCGAGGAAAAATCTGGGTACTTGCTCTATTTTTATCTACGCAGAAAAAGAATATAAGAGTTCACCCAGAAAGGCTCGGGAGGACCGCAGCGACCCAGCAAGCATTGAGGTGAAATTTACTGTTAATTAAAAGAAGCTGCGTTAGCATGGAATCTTGACAAATTGTCAGTTCATATCGAGTTAAGGAGAAGTATGCTACAGAGAAAAAATAAAATTCGAGAAGTATGCTATAGAGAAAAATAAAATTCGTTTGAAAAGACTAATAGTTTTGTACTGAAGTCACATGGTAATTTAGAATAGAATTAAGCATAAGGGATCGCAAAATGAGAGAAAATGTCCGGAAAAAAGTTGAAAGTAGCTAAAACGAAACACTCCGAAAATATTTCAAGTGTATGCTATTCACCAGCCGGGAGGTCCGAATTGGGAAAACCCCCAAGACAGAGGGCACAGTTTCTCTCAATATGGAGCGACCTAGGCTGGTTAATCACTTTTACTTTTTCTTAAACATAACGAAATATTTTTTTTAAAAAGAACCCTAATGATTAAGGGCTGTAAATACGGCAAGATCCTCCTTGAACTGGACAATTTTTTAGCGATTACAGGGTACTTAAAACAGAGTTACTGTAAATTAGATACCCTGCTTACTCAAATAATCGCGAAGAAAGTCGAAAACTCTCCGTGGGTCTGCCAACAAAGACCACGGTAGTTCACGGTATATGGTTCTCAAGGTTTGTTTCTGATTCACAGAAAGAGGAACTCTCACATCCGAAGTTTCGAATATGGATTGAACCTGCACCTAAAAGGAAATTTTTGGAACCGTTATGGAAGGAGCAAGGATTTGGAGAAAAATACAGAAAAGTGAAGGGTCCCTCCCCATTGCGGCTACCGGATGAAACAGTTTCTTTCCTTCGACATCTAAAACCGATTGTCGGTATACCTAAAGAATAATTGTTAATAAGAATCTCTTCTGAAACTCTGGACTGCTGGAGAGCTTCCAGTTTTCAAGTGGAGAAACTCTGCTCGTGTTCGTTGGATTGCAATCTGACTTCTCTACCAACGTTCTTCATGCATCGCTGGAACTACCTTACAAAGCTCTAAACTTCTGTCATTATAAAGTTTGCTCGTTGACTAATAAATTGGACGAAATCAAGGTGTTACTTTCGACCTCCTCTAGTCGCAGGAATGGAAAACCGAACCTAATCCTTGGAAAATCTGAAACATTTATAAATGGATCTTGGTCTGATGCCTCTCTCCAAGTGGACTACTATATCATTTATTTAAACCGTGCCGCGAATAAAGGAGGCGGATTATTAGTTTACGTCCCATTGCACTTACCTTTCAATAGAAGAACTGATCTAGAAGTGCAAGGTATAGAATGTATTTGCCTGGAACTTCGCTTCCCTCTTTCAAAGCCCTGCTGCGTCACCTTCGTAAGAATATTGTATTGTATGAGATGAAAGATGTCCAACAAGGTCCGTAGTGCCAAGTTGGCCATCTACCATCTCATTTTCAACAAACGTGAGCAGAATATGTTTTTTTAGTACTGAAAACGCCCCAAAATATAGGTAATTCGTAAATATTAAAACAGTGGATAGCGTTGAAGGCGCGCTCTGATTGGCTAGTCAAACTCCGAATATCCTTTGCTATTTACCTCCGAACAACTCGGGAAAAAATGGCGTGCCGGTTTGCATCCGTGACAAGGGAAGAAATCACTCAAATTAACGACGGTGGTGTATATTATCTCACTGTTTTAGTATATACTAAAACAACTATTCACCTCAGTGTCGGTGGTAGCGGTGGATATTTACCTCGCCGCTTCGCGGCTCGGTAAATATCCACCACTAACCACCTCCACCTCGGTGAATAGTTGTTAAATATTCCTAACTTTAAAAATTTTTAAGATCAAGTTTAATTATGAGTTGAGGCGTACACTTACCATATTTGTGGAGCATGGTAAAACGGCGCATTTTCAACAAAACTTCACTGAAGCTAATAGAACTAGAAATTAACCAAAATCAGTCCGCTTTAATTAGGAGCCCCTATTACGTCTGACCGTCTATTTCTATTTAACCATGTACATATTACATATAATTTTAATTTTAAACGTATCTTAGTGATACGTAGCAGAATAAGTTATTAGCATTTAGATTCCAGTACTGATTAGCGCTAACCCAGGGTTAGATAAATTAACAAATATCTTTAGCCAGGAGGCAACCTCACACTTGGTGGTTTTCAGGCTGGTCCTGAGTAAGATCTATAAATATGCAGAAGCTTAAAATTTTTTAGAAGTTAAAAGAGCATACAATAACTATGAAGACATGGACAGGTAAAAACGAACGATATAAAATCCCGACGTTTCGGCGACTTCATGACGCCATTATCAAGGGTACAAATGAAAATAAAATTAACAAATGCGAGTTCAAGAGTTACAACTAATTTGCATAGGGGAGGTAGCTACACAAATACTTAATAACTAATAAATAAATAATAACTAATAAATAATAATAACTAATAATAATAACTAATAAATCATAACTATGAAGTCCTAAGATAGAGTGGACAAAATATTAAATAGATAAAATAGTTTATATAAGCTTCTTAAATGAATCAAGGCTTTGAAGTTCCTTGTAGATATTGGAAGAGCATTCCATTCGTGTATCGCTTGATAAGTTATTCTTTGGTGCCCCCTCTGGCACCGAGATTTGGGCATTTTAAAGTTGTCTTTGTGCCTAGTGTTATAAGGGTGGTTATCCCTCAAGTGCGTTGAATTAAATTCCCAGTCAATCAGCCCCTGCAGGCATTTACATACAAAAGAAAGACGGTGTTGCCATTGCCTTTCATATAAAACTAGCCAATCGGGTTCGGTAATTGCCTCTGTTGCGGAGGAGGGGTTAGCTTTATCAAGAATTGATTTAGCAGTTTTGTTTTGCAATAACTGGACTTCAGCTATTGGAGTTTTGTCGAGTATGTCTCCCAACACAATGTGTTTATAATTCAAGCGGAGCAAGATCATTGATTTGATGTAAAGTTCTCTGGTGTGCATTGGCAATAAATATTTGATCCCTCTGAGAATGCCAAGTCGTTGATTTACTGTGGTTGAAATGTAAACAACATGATCACTCCAAGTTAAGGTTTCATTTATATCAATTCCTAAGTATTTGTAACAATCTGCCCTGTCAAGGAACTGTTCACAGATTTGTAGGCTAATTTTCCCGAGGGACTTCAACCTTTGTGAGCTCCTAATTATCATAAACTTAGACTTAATAGGTAGCTTTATTGAAAACATAGGCATGCTACGCATGCAGGTGTTATTTTTGGGATACGTAGGTTGAACTGTGTGGTGTTTTAGTTAATCGTTTACCTTAGCTAATTAATATTCTTAAGCTGTATGTGTACATGCTGTACATATGTGACCTGTTAATCTGGAATGTAATAACGTGTAACATATAGTTGAGTTGAATAAAGACTTGAGCATGACTAGAGCTCTGCGTCCTGAGTATAACTCTATCGCGATATTACCGAACCCAAGAACTCGAAAAAATGGAACACTATATAACTGATGCTGGTGTCTGAATAATTGTTGGCAAAAATAAACTGCATTGGTACAACGCTTCCTGCAGTCCCCTCCACAGTCCCCTCCACAGTCCCCTCCACAGCCCCAATTTGAATTTGTCACGCAACGCTCTCTCTCTCTCTCCAACATTGCATGACAAGACCAAACAACGACCTGCACGTAGGTTAAAAGTGTGCTTATTGCCGTTCCTTCGTCAGAGACAAAGTCCTAGTTATTATTCTGACCATTAAGGGCCAGAATCAGAAATTCCGTTTGGTTTTTCCTGTGCAAGAAAACGCCGATCATAACTTAATGTATCATAATTGAACGTTTCATGGTACTTCGGGGGATAAAGCTCATTTTAGGACAAAAAAGAGCGAAAGATCTGCAAAAGGCATAGCCCATTATACATCGCTGCAGATGTGCGACAAAGAAAAGTGTAGTGTTTGATTATTTGTTTATTTAAGGAAGTTTCATAGGGGTCAAACCTGGAAAACCACAACTTACGCTGAAATGTTTGTAAAGGCCAACGTTCAACAGCTTTATATTTATACTACTTCTTCTCCAGAGGCTACTGTGCCTTGTTAAGTTACTCGTGCCGGTAGTAAGACTACGACCCAGGTAGCACGTTCACATTTTTCACACCCACCTTTTCTCGGCAGCGGTCCAAAAAAAGCTCACAACTGGAAATAAAACCATTTCTGCGCATCTCGGAACTCAAGAAACGCTTCGAGTAATCATTGCACCAACTGACGCAGCAGACTCGAGCGCGAGTCGGTATACCTACATCAAATACTTGCATTTTGGAAACAGTGGCTTTGAAAAATCAACTCAACTAGTTAGTTATTTAGTATTCTTACCCAAGAAGGCAGCCAAGTAGTGATCTATCCCCCACAAATATGGTCAGGTCCAAAGCCATCAATGCATTATATGGCGAAATATTATAGAGCGTGGCTGATGCGTACTGAAAAATTTAACATAAGCCTGTTGTCTGGTCAGACCAGCATGTTCACGCCCATCGGGAAAAGATTGACATCTAGGTTTAACCAGAAAAAAAGACTGAAACAAACCCATGTTGTACCTATCTCCTTCAATCCTTCCTTCCAAGATAATAAATTTAAGAAGTGAATGACTACTTCTTATAGAAGTCCAGACCCAATTAATGCATCATAAGGCTGGCGATATATCATTGAGCATGGTTTGATATGTCAGAAAGAACCCTGCGCCTCGAACTAGAGCCTCTCGTTCACCCCAAACTAAGCTTTGCACTAAGCGAGGGACAAATTGTCATGGAACATGATATATTTTGGCAGGAGGAGAGAATATGGCTGCTCGGCTAAGAACTAGGTCAACTTCGTCTTTTGGCCCGGAAAAACCGAGACTAGCGGAATTGCTCTCAATCCGCCTTGAACAAGCAAGAAGAGGTATAATTACTGTTTTTTCGTTTTCTGGATCGTCTGTCGAAATTACAGTTTACTCTTACTACAGTTTTGAACGAGCAGCAGATATCCTTATGAGGAGAACGACAAGCAATACTGTCGCAGAGTTCACATCTTTTCTCTGCAATTCATTTTATTAGTAAACGAAAATGCCAGTTTCAAGATAATTTCTGTAATTAATCAAACAATCCGTGATAGAGATTATAATAGTAACGAAGAGGAAACAAATACGATTCAATTTTTCAGCGACTTAAAAAATACTTGTAAATTATTTAAAATCCATACCTCTACTCGAGGCAATTGTCATATCGACGGTTCCTTCTTACACAAAGTAAGCACCAAGTGTTTCTATAGATACTCAGTGTGCTTTCAGCGATTAACGATAAAAATATCATTTGGTAGGTTTGACTGTAACTCATTTTGAACATAACATACCGTCAACAGAAGAAAATTACGTAAGAGTGCAGGGAAGTTGAAAACTTATCAACAGTAAAATACAGTAGTATTGTAACAAGCAAAGGTTTTAATCACCGAACTAGGTTTATCCTTCCGCACACGAGAAACATGTTTCTGAACAAGCAAGATTTCGCCAACATTTGGTTCGCGGTTTAGTTAAAGACTTATATTTAAACAAAGATCTCTTACGTGAAGTAATTACAGCATAGCTCCTTTTCAACGAATTGGAAAAAGAGAAACCCTGAGATACGCTTTGTAAACAATCATTATCAGGAGGTGTTGACTATCCTGCCAAGTTATAACCCTATTTTGGGAGCAATGCAACAATTTCAGGACTGTAATCCCCTTTTGTGGTACAGCAGTATCGACGGTAAGGTGATATTATATTAAATAAGCTGTACATTGGATGTAAAATGCGAAACAATTAAGTTTGCGTGTGAATGTGTACATTTTCCAATAACTGACGGCATCGTCAAATCAGCTCATTTTATCCAACTTTAAAATTTGATTAAATCGCACTGAATCATTTCCCCAAAAAATCCTTTGGAGATCGATAAGAACCTCACTTCGCCTTCCAAAAGCCAGATTTTCAGTCGATTATTTTGTAGAGCACATAGTTAAATAACAGGTTACTTTTGACCTATTTTTAATCTTGTTAGAAGAAGATCGGATAACTTACGTTGTGTAAATAAATGATCAAGAATTGTTCAAATTGCTGTCAACATATGTATTGATGTTGTTTTTCAAGATTTGGTAGTTTTTATAAATATAAAAAGGTACGTTAAAAGCGAGCTTTCTCCTTAAGGCTACGGTACTAAGATTACATGACGGCAAAAAGCGATGTAATTTGTGGCAGCTGTTGTCTTTGATCTTTCTGAATAGGCGCAATATTGCACTCTTAAAGAGCTTCTTGGTAGCCTAAATCTGCGGAAAACTATTCTAAGTGCACGGCGCTGAATTACCTCTAGCTCTTCAGAGAGATACTTAGATCATTGTGGAAAACTTGGCAAGCATATTCAGACACGGGCCGGATACTCGTAGAGTAGAAGTAAACTAGCTGCGCAGGATCTCCTTTTGCACGCTTGAGTTACCTTAACTGATAAAGCCTGGAGATTCCTTTTTTGATAACATTCTCTACGTAAGCGTTCCCCTTAAGAATGTTTGAAATTGTGAGACCAAGAAGTTTTACGCTAGTTAATAA